CACGTTCCCTGTCTCACCCGATCTGTGCTTCAACTGTTCTCCGATAGACATTCTCTGCCTCACCTGCCTGACTCCGCCTGTCTCTCAGATTAAGTTAGTTTAGGTAAGCTTAGGTTGGGATACGTTGGGTTTGCTGAGGTTAGGTTAGGTTGCGTTAGGTTGGGTTAGGTTAGTTTAGTTTAGTTTAGGTTGGATTAGGTTAGGTTGAGAAGGTTGGGTTACGTTAGGTTAGCTTAGGTTTATTTAGGATAGGTTAGGTTGGGTTAGATTAGGATAGAGAGTTATACAGAGACCGGAATATACTGAGACAGTCTGTCTGAGACACGTTACGTCAAATACCTAATCAAGCAGATCACTGTGCTGACAGTTATCGGGTGGGGAGAATTTTGAAAAAAATTGATAATTTTAGAAATTTTAAAAAAATCAAAAAATGCTGGAAAATGTCCAAAAAGCGCACAAAACTAAAATATTTTGGAAAATTTTTCATTTAATTTTTTTTGGTTTTCTGTGTTTTTCAGACAATTTGAATTTTTTTTAAAAAATTCACTGCTAGAGCCATACAAGAAGCGGCCTCTGTCAAACCCGATCTAAAGTAGGAACGCTCAGTCTCACCCGATCTGTGCTTCAACCGGTCTCCGCCAGATACGAACTTTGCCAGACTCCGTATGTCTCATAGGTTAGGTTAGGTTGGGTTAGGTTAGGTTAGGTTGGGTTAGGCTAGGTTAGGTTTGGTTAGGTTAGGTAGGGTTAGGTTGGGTTAGGTTAGAGACTGCCATACAGAGAGCGGACGTTACCGAGACAGGGTCCTTCAGAGAACGTTGCGTCAAAGACCGGATGATGGAGAGCACTATGCTGACAGCGATCGTGTGGGGAGACTTGAATTTTTTTTAAATTTTTCGAAATTTTCAAAAATTCAAAAAATGCTGGAAATTGTCCAAAAAGCGCACAAAACCAATAAATTTGAAAAAAATTACATTCAAATTTTTAAATTTTTTTTCGAAAACTTCGGTTTTGTGCGCTTTTCAGAAAATTTCCAGCATGTATTGATTTTTCAAAATTTTTGAAATTTTTAAATTTTTTTAAAAAAATTTCATTGCTAGATCCATATAAGAAGCGGCTTCTGTCAAACCCGATCTAAAGTAGGCACGCTCAGTCTCACCCGATCTGTGCTTCAAGCGGTCTCCGCCAGGTACTATCTCTGCCAGACTCCGTATGTCTCAGGTTAGGTTAGGTTGGCTTAGGTTAGGTTGGGTTAGGTAAGGTTTGGTTAGGTTAGGTAGGGTTAGGTTAGGTTAGGTTAGGTTAGAGACTGTCATACAGAGAGCGCACGTAACTGAGACGGTTCAGAGAACGTTGCGTCAAGGACCGGATGATGCAGAGCACTATGATGATAGCGATCGGGTGGGGAGATTTTTGAATTTTTTAATATTTTCAAAAATTCGAAAAATGCTGGAAATTTTCCAAAAAGCGCAGAAACCAAAAAAGAAAAATTTTACTTTCAAAATTTCTTCAAAATTTTCGAAAATTTTTGATTCTGTGCGCTTTTCAGAAAATTGCCAACATTTTTTGATTTTTCAAATTTTTTGAAAAATTTGAATTTTTTAAAAAAATTTCACTGCTAGATCCATACAAGAAGCGGCTTCTGTCAAACCCGATCTAAAGTAGGCACGCTGTATCACCCGATCTGTGCTTCAACTTGTCTCCGCTAGATACGAAATCTACCAGACTCCATATGTCTCATAGGTTAGGTTAAGTTGTGTTAGGTTAGGTCAGGTTGGGTTAGGTTAGGTTAGGTTAGGTTTGGTAGGGTTAGGTTAGGTTAGAGACTGTCATACAGAGAGGGGTCGTTACTGAGACAGGGTCCTTCATAGAACGTTGCGTCAAAGACCGGATGATGCAGAGCACTATGCTGTCACTGTCAAACCCGATTTAAACTGAACACGCTCAGTCTCACCCGATCTGTGGTTCAACCGGTCTCCGCAAGATACGAACTCTGCCAGACTCCGTATGTCTCAGGTTAGTTTGGGTTAGGTTAGGTTTGCTTAGGTTACGTTACGTTAGGTTAGGTTAGAGACTGTCATACAGAGAGCGGACGTTACTGAGAGAGGGTTCTTCAGAGAACGTTGCGTCAAAGACCTGTTGATGCGGAGCACTATGCTGTTAGCGATCGGTTGGGGAGATTTTTGAAATTTTTGTTGAAATTTTTCGAAACTCTCAAAAATTCAAAAAATGCAAAAAATTGTCCAAAAGCGCACAAAACCAAAAATCTTATATTCAATTTTTTTTTTAAATTTTTCGAAAATTCTTGGTTTTGTGTCTGACGAACACGGTCTGTGCCTCACACGGTCTCTTACGTGCCATCTTCTCTAAGCCGAGGTGTGGGATGCAACACATAAGGCAGATACCGAGACGGGCACGGACACGGTCTTCTCTAAGCCGAGGTGCGGGATGCAGCACGTAAGGCAGATACCGAGACGGACAGGGACACGGTCGGCCACACATCGAGCCTTGCATAGGCCGGTTGTGCAGAAACCGAGGCAGTCAGCATTCGGAAAGTTTCGAGGCCGAGTCCGGCAGAGACAGGGTGAGGCATTCGCCGAGGTTGGCATGCATCTCTTGGTGAGATTTCTGAAAATATTTTCAAAATTTCAACATTTTCGAAAAATCAAAAAAGGCTGGAAATTGTCTCAAACACGCACAAAACCAAATTTTTGGAAATTTTTGAAAAAAATTTAAGTGGAATTTTTCAAAAATTATTAGTTTTGTGCGCTTTTTGGACAATTTCCAGCGTTTTTTGATTTTTCGAAAATGTTGAAATTTTGAAAATATTTTCAGAACTCTCACCAAGAGATGCATCCAACCTCGGCGAATGCCTCACCCTGTCTCTGCCGGACTCGGCCTCGAAACTTTCCGAATGCTGACTGCCTCGGTTTCTGCACAACCGGCCTATGCAAGGCTCGATGTGTGGCCGACCGTGTCCCTGCCCGTCTCGGTATCTGCCTTACGTGTTGCATCCCGCACCTCGGCTTAGAGAAGACGGCACGTAAGAGACCGTGTGAGACACAGACCGCGTTCGTCAGAGACACAGTACGTCAGACACAGTCCGACGGCGATCTGTCCTGCATGGCATCAGATGGGTGAAATTTGAAAGAAATTTTGCAAAATTTTCAAAATTTTCGAAAAATCAAAAAAGGCTGGAAATTGTCTCAAACACGCACAAAACCAAATTTTTGGAAATTTTTGAAAAAAATTTAAGTGGAATTTTTCAAAAATTATTAGTTTTGTGCGCTTTTTGGACAATTTCCAGCGTTTTTTGATTTTTCGAAAATGTTGAAATTTTGAAAATATTTTCAGAACTCTCACCAAGAGATGCATCCAACCTCGGCGAATGCCTCACCCTGTCTCTGCCGGACTCGGCCTCGAAACTTTCCGAATGCTGACTGCCTCGGTTTCTGCACAACCGGCCTATGCAAGGCTCGATGTGTGGCCGACCGTGTCCCTGCCCGTCTCGGTATCTGCCTTACGTGTTGCATCCCGCACCTCGGCTTAGAGAAGACGGCACGTAAGAGACCGTGTGAGACACAGACCGCGTTCGTCAGAGACACAGTACGTCAGACACAGTCCGACGGCGATCTGTCCTGCATGGCATCAGATGGGTGAAATTTGAAAGAAATTTTGCAAAATTTTCAAAATTTTCGAAAAATCAAAAAAGGCTGGAAATTGTCTCAAACACGCACAAAACCAAATTTTTGGAAATTTTTGAAAAAAATTTAAGTGGAATTTTTCAAAAATTATTAGTTTTGTGCGCTTTTTGGACAATTTCCAGCGTTTTTTGATTTTTCGAAAATGTTGAAATTTTGAAAATATTTTCAGAACTCTCACCAAGAGATGCATCCAACCTCGGCGAATGCCTCACCCTGTCTCTGCCGGACTCGGCCTCGAAACTTTCCGAATGCTGACTGCCTCGGTTTCTGCACAACCGGCCTATGCAAGGCTCGATGTGTGGCCGACCGTGTCCCTGCCCGTCTCGGTATCTGCCTTACGTGTTGCATCCCGCACCTCGGCTTAGAGAAGACGGCACGTAAGAGACCGTGTGAGACACAGACCGCGTTCGTCAGAGACACAGTACGTCAGACACAGTCCGACGGCGATCTGTCCTGCATGGCATCAGATGGGTGAAATTTGAAAGAAATTTTGCAAAATTTTCAAAATTTTCGAAAAATCAAAAAAGGCTGGAAATTGTCTCAAACACGCACAAAACCAAATTTTTGGAAATTTTTGAAAAAAATTTAAGTGGAATTTTTCAAAAATTATTAGTTTTGTGCGCTTTTTGGACAATTTCCAGCGTTTTTTGATTTTTCGAAAATGTTGAAATTTTGAAAATATTTTCAGAACTCTCACCAAGAGATGCATCCAACCTCGGCGAATGCCTCACCCTGTCTCTGCCGGACTCGGC